AATGCACCCCTCGGTCTGAGACGATATTACTGGGCAGACCATGTAACCTGACAATCTCTTTGATGAAGGTTAGTGCAGTCTCTGGTGCAGATGGAGTACCCACCATTGGTAAAAAATGGGCCATCTTGGATAGCCGATCCACAACCACCAGAATGGTAGTAAACCCCTCCGAGGGCGGCAAGTCCACAATAAATCCATTACGACCATCTCCCAGGGACGATCAGGAATGGGAAGGGGCCTCAGCAACCCCCAGGCCTTGGCTTTGTCTCCCTTGTTCCACAGACACACTGCACGACTTCACATAAGCTCTACAGTCATGATTCAAGTTGGGCCACCAGAAGGATCGCTGGGTTAGTTCCATTGTCTTACAGGCTCCAAAGTGTCCGGCCGGTTGATGGTCATGGAAAGCCCTGAAAACTTGAGACCTCACTTCTTGGGCTACAAAGATTTTTATCCTTGTGCCACAGAAGACTATCCTGCCTTCTAAGCGAATTTTGTTCAGGTTCAGGACATAGTGCAGAGGCTTGCTTGATCAAAGACTTTAGGCTGGGTTCTATCAGCAAAAAATTTTGGGCCAATAAACTGGTGTTGGGGGGAGAAGGCTCCTCTGGGTCTGGGAACATGCAGGAAAGGGCATCTGTCTTCCCGTTCTTGGATCCAGGGCGGTAGGTTATGTGGAAGTTAAACCTGGATAAATATAAAGTCCATCTAGCTTGTCGAGGTCTTAGGCACTTGGCGGACCTTAGATACTCCATATTTTTATGATCTGTGAAAATCATAATTGGGTGGCTGGCTCCTTCAAAGTGATATCTCCATTCTTCGAATGCTATCTTAATCACTGAAAGTTCCCTATCTCCCACATCGTAGTTCCTCTTGGCTTGTTTTCTAGAACAAAAGGCTACTGGGTGAAGCAGAGCCTTTGGGCCCTGGCGCTGGGAGAGTACGGCTCGTAGCAACTTCAGATGCGTCTACCTCCAGGATAAAGGGGAGTGTTGGCTCAGGATGCTGTAACACAGGAGCGGAGGTGAATTGATCTTTTAATTGCTCAAACGCTTTTTGAGCTTCCTGGTTCCAGCAAAATTGTGTATGCTGGGGGTGAGTTGAGTAATAGGGGCAATGATTGTGGAAAAGCCCTTAATAAATTTCCAATAAAGGTTGCCGAAACCCACAAATCTTTGGACCCTTTCCTGTCTCAAGGTGCAGGCCAATTCTGGATGGCAGATACTTTCTGAGGATCCATGGAGATCCCCTCAGTGGAAATTATGAGCCCCAGGAACTGGATGGACTGCATCTCAAACTCACACTTCTCCGCCTTGGCATACAAGCCATGCATTCTTAGAGTGTTTAGCACTTTCCTAACGTGATCACGATGGAGTTCCAGTGAGGGAAAGAAAATTAGGATATCGTCCAGGTTAGACGATCACAAAAAGGTCAAGCTATTCGCTAAAGATGTCATTCACAAAATGTTGAAACGTAGCAGGGGCATTATATGGCCCAAACGGCATCACTAAGTATTCAAAATGTCCGAAGCGTGTTCTGAAGGCAGTCTTCCACTCATTGCCCTCTCTTATATGGACTAAATTGTAGGCCCTCCGTAAGTCCAATTTAGTGAACACTCGGGCTGTTCGAAATCTCTGAAACAACTCGGGCACCAGAGGAAGAGGATACCAGTTTTTAATGGTAATTTTATTAAGTTCCCTGTAGTCAATGCAAGGTCTAAGAGACCAATCCTTTTTTCTACAAAGAAAATACCAGCCCCGGCAGGAGAGGGAGAGGGGAGGATGAATCTTTTAGCGAGATTCTCGTCTAGATAGTGCTGGAGGGCTTCCAGTTCGAGTTTGGATAATGGGAAAATTTGCCCGAATGGTATTTCTGCTCCTGGGAGTAACTCAATTGGGCAATCGTAAGACTGATGAGAAGGCAATGTGTTGGCCTTCTTTTTATCAAACACATCGAGGAAGTCATGGTAGGTAGAGGGAACTGATTGACTGGCCTCTGGTGAAGGTTGGACTGAGAGACATATGGAAGAATTGGTGGGTGTAGGGGCACCACAGTGTTGTAGACAATATTCTGAAGAAAAGATCATTTCCTTCTTGGGCCAATTGATCTGTGGTTTGTGGGCTTGCAACTAGGGTATTCCTAGGATGGCTGGAAACATGGGGGATCTGATCACGTCAAAACAAGCTCCTGATGGCCGGAGTTGGTGGTTGCAAGAATAGGAATGGTTTCCTGGGTAATAGGTCTGGAACTCGGAGTAGTGCCATCTGCAAGTAAGACGTCAAGTCTCTGTTTCTTAGGCAGAAGAGGGATGTGTAAGTCCTTGGCCAATTGGATGTCTAAAAAACCGCTACAAGCTCCTGAGTCAACAACTGCCCACAACTTGACATCTCTTCCAGCCACCTGCAATGACATTGGGAGAATGACAAGGATGGTTAAAGTTCCGGATAGCTGAAGGTACGAAGGATGGGGCTGGCTGGACTTACTTGGGCGTACTGGGCAGTTACATAGGAAGTGGCCTGCGGCCCCACAGTAAAGACAGAGGTTGCCTTGCTGTCTGCGTAGCCTTTCTTCCGGAGTTAGGGCAGGTCGGAGAAGGCCGATTTGCATAGGTTCTACCTCCGAATTGTTGACGGGTTGCGGAGCAAGGGCAGGAGCCGTTGGCCCTGGAACTTTTGGCAGAACCCAAGTGGGACGAAAGGTCTGAGTACCCTCAGCGCGTCTTTCCCGTAGATGCCGATCCAACCGAGTAGGAGCAGGATAAGGTTCTCCAAGAAGGAGGGAGCTTCCACTTTAGCTAACTCGTCCTTGAGGGACTCGGACAGGTCTAGGCGGAACTGGTACTTGAATGCTGCATTGTTCCAACCGGTGTCTGCAGACCATTTACAGAACTCCATTATGTAGTCCACCACAGGCCGCCGATCTTGTAGTAGAGCATGGAAGGTGGATTCAGCAGTGGAGGTCCTCTGGGGATCGTCATAGAGGGCAGCCATGGCTTCAAAGAATTCACTCACTGAATTGAGCGCTGGGCTCTTTTGTTCCAGATGACTATGTGCCCAAGACTGAGGTTCTTCAGACAAGAGGGAGATGATGAACCCGACCTTGACTGCTTCCAGAGAAAAGGTCCTGGGTTGCAGAGCAAAATATAATTCACAGGCATTCTTGAAAGCTCTGAACTTACGTCGATCCCCGAGAAAATGTTCCGGAGTAGGAATCTGGGTTCCAGAGGTGGTAACACGATAGCAGGAGTGGTGGCAGGAGACTGACAGGCAGGTGCAGCTACTGGATTGGAACTGGCGGAGGGATCCTGGTCCGCGGAAGTAGAGAGGGAGTGAAGACACCCTTCTAGCTGGAAGTATCCTTGCTGTAGATCCTTCACAGCTTGGGTAAGTGCCGTCATCTGTTGGCACAGGGCCTCTAGTGCGGAAGTGCCTCTCTCGACTTTGGACATTACTGGCTGGATGATACTATCACGTAACTGGTGATGGAGGCCAATGGAGAGTGGGCTTCCCTTGCGGCTAAGTTCCGGACTCCCCTGAGAGTGGGACAGCGGGAGTCAGGCCCAAAGTTGCACAGAATGAGGAAAGAACAGAAAATCAGGTGAACAGTGTAGGAATTACAACAGTTTGCATATGTGCCTCCCACTTGTTAAGGGACCAAAAGTAATGGGACAATTGGCTTCTCAGCTGTTCCATGGCCAGGTGTGTGTTATTCCCTCATTATCCCAATTACAATGAGCAGATAAAAGCTCCAGAGTTCATTTCAAGTGTACTATTTGCATTTGGAATCTGTTGCTGTTAACTCTCAAGATGAGATCCAAAGAGCTGTCACTATCAGTGAAGCAAGCCATCATTAGGCTGAAAAAAACAAACAAACCCATCAGAGAGATAGCAAAAACATTAGGCGTGGCCAAAACAACTGTTTGGAACATTCTTAAAAAGAAGGAATGCACCGGTGAGCTCAGCAACACCAAAAGACCCGGAAGACCACGGAAAACAACTGTCAGGGCTCCCGGGTATGACCAGAGGTGTGTGACTGACGCAGGGAAACGCAGACTTCAGATATATTATAAACAATGTAATTTATTAACACTAACAATACAAACATAAACGCAGTGCAATACTAAAACATAACACAGTGCAAACAAACCAACCAACCACCCACAGATAACAGTACATACAATGCAAGCGTCGTCAGGCAGGCCGGGTCAATATCAATTGGGCAGGTAGGTACAGGGGGAGCAAGCGGAGAAAGGTCGGGGTCACAGGCCAGGTTCAGCAGGTAGCGGGCAGCGTGGTACAGAGGGTCAGGCAGAGGAGAATGGTCAGACAAGCCAGGGATCAGGAGCAGGAGAATGGTCAGACAAGCCAGGGATCAAAGCAGGGTCAGCAGAGAATCAGACAGGAACAGGGAACAGGGAGCAGGAACAGGATACAGGGCCCAGGAGAAAACACAACACCAAGGCAGAGTCTGCAGGTCTGAATGTCCCTTAAATACACCAGTATAATTAGTTCCAGGTGTTTGACTGGCTGCAAGGTTGAGTCTCTGCAAGCACCCGCTGGCCAGCCCTGGTACTGCAGCTCATAAGGCAGCTGAGTCCCACTATTGCTGGCCAGTCCATTCCTGACAACAACTGTGGTGGATGACCGAAGAATTCTTTCCCTGGTGAAGAAAACACCCTTCACAACAGTTGGCCAGATCAAGAACACTCTCCAGGAGGTAGGTGTATGTGTGTCAAAGTCAACAATCAAGAGAAGACTTCACCAGAGTGAATACAGAGGATTCACCACAAGATGTAAACCATTGGTGAGCCTCAAAAACAGGAAGGCCAGATTAGAGTTTGCCAAATGACATCTAAAAAAGCCTTCATAGTTCTGGAACAACATCCTAAGGACAGATGAGACCAAGATCAACTTGTACCAGAGTGATGGGAAGAGAAGAGTATGGAGAAGGAAAGGAATTGCTCATGATCCTAAGCATACCACCTCATCAGTGAAGCATGGGGAACATGCTGTATCCCTGTTCTAAGTGCGGGAAATGTTTTCTCAGACAAAACTAGACTTTACATATATCAGAGATCTAACACAGGTGAAAAGCCATATGTCTGTCCTGAGTGTGGGAAATACTTTTCAGTAAAGCTTAGTCTTCACACACATCAGAGATCTTACACGGGGGAGAAGTTGCATACCTGTCCGGAGTGCTGGAAATGTTTTTCATGTAAGTCCCACCCATTGACCCTCCCTATACATCAGGGTCCCCCAGAGACCCAGATCCCCCTCCTTAAATAAAGGTCCTCATAGGTCCCCTCTTCCATTACATCAGGGTCCCAAAAGTGCTCCCAATACATCAGGGTCTCCCTATACATCATGGTCTTCAGAGTCCCCCACCTTTCATCAGGGTTCCTAGAGCCCATTCTCTTTAATTTGGTCCCCAAAAATGGACCCTTACCTCATGGTCCATTCCAGTCATTCCTACAGGCAGCTACACGAGCTGGAAGAAGTCCTGTCCTTGCCGCCCTCCTCCTCCTCTGAATGTCATGGCCTGGGGGCGGTGCAAGCACCTGATTGGTTGCTAGGACTGCTGATGTCCTGGCAACCAATCACGTGCTTTCCCCACCCCCACTAGAGTTGACAGTGACAACACAGGGCAGTGGCATGGCAAGCCGCCCCACTGCCTGAACACAGCCGAACCATGCCCGATCCAGCACACATGAGAATACTGCCCCGTTCAAGCTCAAACAAGTCTGCCTCCTCCTTCTGAACACAGTTGTGCCCGCCCAAGCACAGACGACCCATCCCCCCCCCTGAGCACAGCCGAGCCGTCCACTGCCGAGCTGCCCGAGCAAACACAAGCCCGCCCCCCCTTCCCAAACACAGCCAAGCCCACATCCCCCTCCCGAACACAGCCAAGCCTGCACACCCTTCCGAAACACAGCCGAGCTCTACCCCTCTGCCCGAGCACACACGAACCCGCCCCCCTTCTTGACCAAAGCAGAGCCGTCCCCTTGCCCGATCATACATGAGATGGCACTGGTCCCTTCTGCCTGGGGGCGATGCCGCCCCCCTGAGAAATGCCACCCAAGGCAGCTGCCTTGTTTGCCTCGTGGCAGATATGCCCCTGTTCAGAGTGCGGGAAATGTTTTTCACAGAAGTCCTGCCTGCATATATATCAGAGACCTCACATGAGGAACATGCTATATCCCTGTTCTAAGTGGGGGAAATGTTTTCTCAGACAAAACTAGACTTTACATACTGTATATCAGAGATCTTACATGAGGGAGAAGTTGCATACCTGTCCGGAGTGCTGGAAATGTTTTTCATGTAAGTCTATTTTTATATATACCATATAATAAGCTATATAATATTATCCCCCACAGCTCCATAAGTAAAGATGAAGTAGGAAAAAAAGAAAAAAGACAGACATACTTAAAATTAGGATTATTTAGGATTACTAAAATTAAATGAGGAGCAATTAAAATCCCTAGAATCCACAATAACACAGGAGGAAATACACTTAGCATTAAAGAGCACTATAGCTGGGAAAAGTCCAGGACCTGATGGATACACAGTGAGATATTATAAAAAATATATAAAGAATTATTAGTTCCTAAACTGAGGATATATATGAATGCATTGGGAGGAGAGATGGAAATGAGGAGGGAATCCCTACAAGCCCATGTAGTTCTCATACATAGGGAAGGTAAAGATGATACTCACTGTTCAAGTTACAGACCGATTTTCTTATTAAACACAGATACCAAACTATTTGCAAACGTTATGGCAAACAGGTTGAAAGACCTAATGTCAGAATGGATACACATAGACCAAGTAGGCTTTGTCCCAGGGAGAGAGGGTAGAGATAACGAACTGTGAGATCTTTGTTTCTCATACAAAAAAGTAGGAAAGAGAAAATCCCTGTGGTGGTACTCTTTATCAATGATGCAAAATGCATTTGATAGAGTAGATTGGGGATATATGTTGGATACATTGGGATGGGACCTAGAATGAGAGAGTGGATAAGGAAATGATATAGTCAACCCTCTGCAGCAATCATGGTTAATGGGGAATTGTCAGAGTATTTTAGGATGCAGAACGGAACTAGACAGGGATGCCCTTTGTCTCCATTGCTATATGTTTTATCATTGGAATCTCTTTTGGCTACAATAAGGAATAATATAGATATAAACGGAATTTGGATAGGAGATACGGAGCATAAGGTGGCAGCTTATGCAGATGACATACTGTTCTATGTGGGAAACCCAAGGATAACATTGCCAAATTTAATGAAATCACTGAAAGAATATGGGGAGATGTCAAATTTAAAAACCCAAATTTTAAACATAAATCTTCCAAATCGAGAGAAAAATAGGTTACAGGAGGAATTTCCCTTTGGAGAGAAAAGAAATTGAAATACCTAGGAATAAAATTAACTGAATCCTCCAAGAACTTGTATAAATTAAATTATATCCCATTGTTAAATGAGATCAGGGATCAACTAAGGAAATTAGGAGGGGGAACCCCGTCATGGATAGGTCGTAAAAATTTGATAAAAATGGTGATTGTTCCAAAAATATTATATAAATTTCAAATGATACCAATTAAACTATCAGACGTATACTTTAGATCAATTAAAAAAATGTTAACAAGATTTATTTGGAGAAATAAAAAACTGAGAATAAGCCAGGAAATTTTAGGTAGAAATAAAGAGAAAGGAGGATTGGGAGTCCCAGATTTAAAAAGATATTATAACTCAGGAATAATGGCTAGAATTTTTGACTGGACATATAATGCAGAGGTGAAAAGCTGGGTTAAAATAGAAAATATACTAAGTAATACTAAATTAAGTAGAATTATATGGTTACCTCCACAATACAGAGGATTAGCAGTCAGTACAAGTTTGTTCACATTTAATGTTTTAAGAGTTTGCGATGTTTTACACAAACAGATGGGATGGGAATTTAATTCATTGTTAATGCCCTTAAAGTCCACAGAGTTTCCCCCCCCGATAAAGAAGGTATCACAGGGAACTGGATTAAGAAGGAAGATGCACAATTAAGGGATATAATGGTGGGGGAGGAAATAGGATCACTTAAGGAATTGGAAAAAAAAAATGAAGTTTTTACGATAATGGATGCGTGGCGTTATTTTCAATTGAAACACTTTATAGGAAAGCTTCCAAAGCCTTTAAGAATAAGATAGAATTGGAATTCTTTTGAGCACTTAGTTAGGTACAGGGGGAGATGCGAAACACGGAACCTCTAAAATATATAAGATTCTCACTGAAATAAATGCAGATATAAGTCCTCCATATATAGAAAAATGGGAAAGATAAATAGGAGTAACAATAGGTGCGGAAATCAGAGGAAAATGTATAGAATAATCCACGGAAATATAAATATGCAGGAGGTAGAAATGAATTAAAAGTGTTTGGCAAGATGGTATATCACACCGAGTGTGGCATACAGATTGAGTGGAGATAATTCACCTTTATGTTGGCATGGATGTGGAGGTAGAGGCACAATGTATCACATATGGTGGGAGTGTTCTAAAATACAAGAGTATTGGGGGAAAATAGTAAGCTTGATTCCGAAAATTACAGAGGTTGATATTCTAGTAGACCCAGAGATTTGCCTTTTTCATAGTACTAAGCTTTCAGTTAAAAAATAAAAAGAATCTGGTTTATTGTACTATTTGAATGCAGCAAAGGGACTGATACCCAAGTATTGGAGGAAACAGGAGGTGCCGAAAATAAAAGACTGGGTGGATAGGGTGGATCAAATATGTAAATTGGAGGAACTTTATCATTTGAATGAAGATAAGATGGAGAGTCACCATACAAGATGGAACAAATGGGAGGAATTAAAAAAGTCAAGGCTAGCCTTAGAGGTTATGGGGGATTAACATAGAATAATATGGAAACATATTTTGTTCTTTTATAGGGATTACGATCTCCAAAAATGAACAGGAAAATGCAGAGCAGAAGGGGTTAGGGATTGGATGGGGGGGGGGGGGGGGATGGGTGGTATATAGGTAGGGGGAGGAGAGGATGGGTGGAGAAAGGGATGAAACGATAAATGTTTTGATAATATGTTAAGGTTTTAATGAGTATGTTTGTATAACTTTTTTATCTGAAAAATTAATAAATATTTAAATAAAAAAAAAAAAAGAATCATCTGGTTACCTCCTCAATTTTGAGGATTAAAAGATAGCACAAGTTTGTTTACACTTAATGTTTTGAGAGTTTGGGATACTTTACACAAACAAAGGGGGTGGGAATTTAATTCATTGTTAATGCCCTTAGGATCCACAGAGTTTTTTCTTCCAGGTAAAGAGAGTATTACAGAGAAGTGGATAAAGAAGAAAGATGTTTAATTAAAAGATATAATGGCGGGAGAAGAAATATGTCCACTTAGCGAACTGGAAAGTAAGAGGGATATATTTACGAGAATGGATGAATGGCGTTATTGTCAACTAAAACATTTTGTACAGAGTCTCCCAATGCCATTAAGAAAAAAAGAAGATTGGAACCCCTTTGAGCACTTATTAGATACACGAGGAGATGGGAAGCACGAGATTACTAAAATATATAAAATTCTCACAGGATTAACCACGGCTATAAGGCCATTATTTATAGAGAAATGGGAAAGGGATTTAGAAGTAATAATTAATGAGAGAAAACAAAAGAAAATATTTAGTTTAATTCATGGGAATGTAAATATGAAGGAAGTGGAAATGAATCACAAGTGTTTAGTAAGAAGGTATATTACACCGAATGTAGCACACAGAATAAGTGGAATCAAGTCACCTTTATGTTGACGGGGATGTGGAAAGAGAGGTACAATGTTACACTTATGGTGGGAGTGTCACAAAATTCAAAAATACTGGGAGGTCATAGTGAGCACAATTCAGGAAATAACAGAGGTAAATATTCCTAAGGACCCCGAGACTTGCCTTCTTTTTTGGTACTGAGTTCTCGGATAAAAAATATAAAAAAACTGGATTATTGTATTATCTGAATGCAGTGAAGGGACTGATACCCAAGTTTTGGAGGAAACAACAGGCACCAAAAATAAAGGATTGGGTAGAAAGAGTGGAAAAGATATATAGAATGGAGGAACTTTGCCATATGGAGGAAGATAAAATGGAGGTCTTCCGTACAAGATGGGAAAAGTGGGTAAAATTTAAAAAGTCAGATGTATACCTAGAATATGTGAAATAGGGAAAATAAGTGATAGGGGATAAATATAGTATAGTATAACATCAGTATTATTCAAGGAACAGGATATTTAGAACAAAGTTAAAGTGTATAATCAAAGGGTGGTGGGGGCGAAAATAGGAAAGGGGAAGGGTAAAAAATCACCAAGGTTAAGGTTATTTGTGGGGAATTGTCAGGACGCGGGTGTTCTGCGGCATCGCGTCGGGCAGCGCATGCGCAGAACACCAGCACTTACCACCAGGTGAGCGATATGACCTGGGCACGCACGGCGGCGGCGATGTTCGCGCATGCGCATTCGCGATCGCAGACACTCGAAGGGCACCAATGACAGCGCGAGGCGGACTATTTAAATGTGGAATCAGGTATGTCAGATTGCCGTTTGGTCTTATTACCTTGTTCCTGATCCTGTGTTCCTGTGTATCCGTTGCCGACCTCTGCTTGTTCCTGATCCTGCTATCCTCCTGATTAACCCCTGGCTTGCCTGACTACTCTTTTGCTTGACCCCTGGTACTGCGCTGCCCGCATCCTGTCGAACCTGGCTTGTGACCTGACCATCCTCTGCTCGCTCCTTCTGTACCTCGCTGCTCGCACGATACCGACCCCTGGCCTGTCTGACCATGCATACCTCACCTGACCATCCATCCCACTCGGATCATACCAGTAGGTCTGTCTGCCTCTTTCAATCAGATTCCATCCCTGCACTCCCCTGCCAGTACTCTCTACCACCGCCGGACGCACTCGGGGGTTGTGACCTGGGGTTTCAGTCTGCACCAAGTCCATCTCCACCATCAGGGGCCCTAGTGAACAGCAGGCTGGGACTTAGACCCCGCGCCCTGAGGAAATCCGTGCAGTGGGCTGCTAGAGACTCTGCCAGGCGGCACCTAACAGGAATGTTACAACAGATATGTGTAATGTATTCTGTCTGTTTTATTAGCTTTTGTATATTTAAAATGGTGATTTGAAAAACAATAATAAAATATTTAAATAATTAAAAAAGTGTAAGACTTTCCAATGAGCAACAGATTT